CTAACACCACACACAGTCTCCAATTTGCGGGTACTTAACGTAGGATCTAGATAAACTTGCCCTAAAACCCCCACTTCTATTGCTTCGTTCCTTATGGAATTTTCAATGTTGCGTTTTTTATTGGCGACTGACCTAGTTTCTCCAAATTTAGCTACAAGTTCTAGAACATATTTTCGATGCACGTTATTGTTCTCATGTCGCTCATTAAATATTTCTGCTGTTCTATTAGCGGACTGATTATTTCCGAAAAACATTTCGATAATTTCAACTCTTTCTGCTGTGGAATATACCATGGTTAATTTATGTAATAAAGCGTTACAAGTTATTTTAGCAACAAAGTTTGGTCAAATCAATCGCAAGCTAACATATGTACAAAATTCCTATTTAAAATAAGTACGTCCTTATCTTTCTTCAATAAATAACTTTTTTGCCACAAAAAACGCTCCAATAGCTATTTTCAACAACAAAATGATAAACAAACCATGGGCATAGTGAAGAAAAGCATTTACTTATTAAGTAAATTCTTTTAGTCAAATCTCTTCTGAAAGTAGTACAAACTAATCTGATGTACCTATTAAAGTCTACTTTAAGCTTTAAATCAATAAATCTTCAAAACTACTGAACTGAAGCTCATGTATTTTACATCATTATAAAGGGAATTGAAAGACCTTTAAAATAAGGTATCACTCGAGCCCCTTTCCATTTAAGATTTTAGGGTTGGTGTCACCCCCGCCCAGGGGGCTGCACGTGTTAACGTGATTTTTTGACAAACTTGTGTCCCCCTCGAAAACAAAATCGACGGGTCTGAGCGTTATTCCAAAAAAAACTGAGCTGCCAGTAAATGCGTCTGTTTCGTTTTCGATGCGCCACCCTGTATATTCAAAGATTCTGCACTGAACCGGTATACCAAATCCTGTAATATATTATCTAGCAAAGGGACGTATAGGTTCAGTCTGTAATGATTTTCCTTGACAGAAGTAACTATGTTCGGTCTGTTCAGTTTAACAGCGGATTGTTTATCAATTGTTTTTGATTGTAAAATCTTACTCAGGTTGACTGTTAAAGCTAATATATTACACAAACACTTTAGTGATACGATAAGTTGGGTGGAATTAATGGCAAGACTCCGCTTTTGAAGAAGCTTCGAGGTCTCTCCAATTTGATATAATATTTAGTACCTCTACAATTTTATCGAATTTGCTTTCAAATTGGAGCACAGAATCATGTCTCTCGGTCCTTCGTGTTTCGCATATACTATGAATTTGATATCCGTCTAGTTTTCTTTGTAATACTATATTTCTTTTACCGGCTGCTTTGAAGAACGCAATTACTTCCTTCATTATACCTACAGTATTTCTTACTGCTTGGACACTGTGTCTTTTTGGAATCGAAAGATTCAAGGCACGATTTGCGCATGGGCTTTTTGCAATACCATTACACCCATCATTAGGTTACACGTATCAGTACCAATGCCCAGCACACATAGTTTTGAGTCTAAGTTATTGGTTTTAAAGAAATGCTTGACTGTTTGAGAAAGAATTTGATCTGTGAGCTTGGACTCCATTGTATCTTAATCAAAATTTGAGTAGCAATCCACAAATCCCATGAAGCAATCGTAAATATATTTTTGATAACAATACCGCAATACGATTGACATTTGTGATTTGTGGCTAATGTCTGTAGTTTCGTCAAATATAATACTGTAATACTGACTTAGCCTGACGCGACTTAAAACTATATCCAAGATTTCTTCGCCACAACATTCTATAATTTTATTTTGGATGCGGCTGCTTATGTATCTACGTAGCATGCGCTTTTGAGATCTCTAAGTTTTTTTTTCAATAAATTGTCGCCGCATCTCCACTCTAAACCGTATTAGTTCTCTAAAATTCCCTTCATTATTAAGGACATCCTCGACATTCGTGCTGTCATTAGAAAAAAGTCTCCCCTATCTCTATGCCCTCTAAGTGGTATATTTTGGCGTCCTAAAAAAATTATAGATTCTATTATAGGAGTCAATCTTTGCCGATTTTCTGATACTTGCTTAATTCGCTCCGCGTCTATTATATTTCTTATATCATTCTCTGGATTTTCGTAAGTCTTTAAAAAGTTAGTAGCATCTGAAACTGCTTCTGTATGATATAATGAGTTCTTATGTGTCTCACAATCACCGGTTTTGCCATACAATTTCGAAAACAAGTTTTCCCAATTAAGTTGATTCATGTACTAATCCTAATTTTGCAAAAACCACGCAATATTTACAGAAAAGCCGTTGTAGTTCCACTGAATATGACAGTCAAGAAAATTTCTCAAAGTGTTTTTTTGATAAGTAACATTTCACTTCTTTATTATTTTTCAAGTGCGTGGAATAGGGATATTTGAAAGAGTCATTAGGGATCATTGCACACCTCAATAAGGTATATTTTTCATGGGAACGCAAGTTGCTGCTGATATTTACATATGGCGCAACAACAACAAAATTGGATCCTTTAGGTTTCACACCCGATTGTTCAACACTTGGTTCAGCATACGGTGGAACATCAAGAAATATTGAAGTGGGAGGCTCAGGATGAATTGTAAGATTATCATCAGTTTTTTCCGGTAATTCTTGTGGCGGTGGATCAGACAGTTTGTTTTGTTTAGAAAGGAACCAATCGATGGTATTCTTTCTTCCTTTTACTCATCCTGACAACAGCAGCCGTCAACCAGCACTAAAAGTTACACAAATATTGTCAAATAAACGGCGTTATTGGTTTCCACGCATTCACGTATCTCATAACAAAGAACCTTTTCTGTTTGGAAAACAAGATTTCTTAAGTTCACGCAATTTTCAAGAGCTAAACATATAATTTGCCATCTCGGACGAATGAAATGCACTGAAGTACTTATATACAGGGACTTCCGAGACATAAATGATAATGATAGCTGGAGTATGGACCAAACACTTCGTAATTGAAATTTTATTAAATTTCCATTTTTCCGTCTATCATTTTATAAGACACGATTCTTTTATAGTATATAAATTAAAAACAAACAAAAATTAATTTCTGGCTCATGAGTGGAAAATAAAAAATCAATAGAACATAGAAAATAGCGTTAATACCAACCAGATCAACAAAACTCGGCTTGTTCACTTCTCAGCCAAATTTTGTTGCGGGCTCCAGACTGGTACAGAATTTAGACACTAGACTAGACCATAAAAGACTAGACTATACCTGTTCCAACATGAAGAAGCGCACACCGTTGCTGTTGGTGGTAGAGTAGTCGCTAGTCGCATGCGCACTGAGCGGGTTGGCAGAGTTGCCGCTATCCTTTCTTAAAGTTACAGATTTTTTTGTAAGACTTTATACCACCTTTTCAAAGACTGCTCGAGTCGTCTGGGGGGAGGGGTAATTACCCCCTTCACCCCCTAACACCCCCCCCCCCCCGTGGGAGCGCCAGTGAGAGTAACCTGATACACAGGTCTGTAGCCAATATCAGGTTGTGCTTATATATTATTTTCTATTAGTACAACACATTGCTTTTTTCTGTGAAATAAACTTAAGTATTTCAATATCCAGCTAGGAGAAAGCTTAAATTTCTTGGTATTACATATCATGACTTAATTATGCCGCACCTAATGTATGGCATATTAGCGTGGAATATATCTTGTCCAGCTTATTGGAACGGTATAGAAGCTTTACAGTGTTCGGAAAATCAATATATTCTACCAGTGAGTTAACAATGGAACGAAGTTATTTGATATCAGGCAAGTTTATTTCATGCATACTGTCAGTCACTATCACAAACTTATCAGTGAGCGCGATGCAATGGCACACTGCCACGATACTTGATACAAGTTACGTGCAAAGACTGTCCCTAGACGTCTTTAGTTCATAATGTCTTAATCTTATCTCTATCCGACTCCCAAATTATATAAACACGTACCTCAAGACTTAAGACAACCTGAAATATCCATAGTTTCGAGAAAAAATTGTCATAATACATACGTTGCATAGGCAGACACCATATTATAGAACTCATATAAAATGCTCATTAAAATTAATCATATTTTAGACATATACTTTTTGACATAATCTTTTATACCTCTTCTATCAATTTATTTTTTTTTTGAGTCACTTTTTCCAAAATTTGACTGATCCATGTACAAGCACTATTATTCTTGTGTTATAGAGTAAATAAATATCTTCTACAACTATTGCTACTACTACTACCCTGTGATGCTCCTGCGTAAGAACAAAACCTACAACTTCGCAATTTGTTTTCCTTCCCTAAAGCACCATTCTATATACTCGTACCTCCTGTTTAGCAACGGTAAATTTAGAGGGTGTTCAAAAAATAGACGGAGATACTTTAGAGAGTCATTCCTAGTCAAGAAATATGAAAAAAAGGTTCTGTAAACATGGGTCCAGAAATACAGAGCTTTCAAGATACAGGGTGATACATTTAAATAAGTCTTTTTTGTTAATATCTCACAAAATATGCAATATTATTTGTTGTATTAAGAGGCTAATTAATCCCGTAATAGACTAAAATTATCAGGTCCAGTGGCGTCCCGGGAGGCACCTTAGCGAATATTATCACCTAAAAATACAAGTCCTTTGCCTCTTTTATTTTTTTCGTATCTTGCTTCGTTTTCGTGAAAGAAATAAAAACCGTTTTATTGCATGTCACTGGAAATTGGTTTATTAATTTTTGCCAAAAAAGTCACAAGTGCCTTGGGAAACAAAAAATCATTTCTGCATGGACGTAATTTTCTTTGCGAAATTTCTCTAAAAAGTTTTTTCTCGATTTTTGTTAAGGAAAATTACACTTTTGAGGAAATGACAGACATGTTATGTATGCACGTGATTAAAACCTTTCAAAGCGTAGGCCGTAAATTACAGGGAAGAGGTAAATTTTCTTTTTCGTGATGTTTTTGATGATAATATAAGGAATCACCCTGTTAAATATCCCCGTATATTTTTCGAACACCCTGTATGTAACTAATCAAGACTCACCAATCCACCACCAATGACAATAACTTTTCTTCGGTCTTGATACATTATAGTAGTCACCGCACTAATAGTTGGAGAAGTACTAACACATTCCCTCCTATCGGATTATAAATAGTATCAAGTATCACATTCCAAGTAGTATCAATTTCGAATACAATCTCCCACGTCGACTTTTCAACTCCCCTACGTGAAACTTAAGCTTTGTGTTAAGGAGGGAAATACTCGTATAGGCGCTGTTTAGTAGTCATTATCACGCTACATCCTATCGCACATTAAAAACACTATCAAGTTCCTACCAATTATGGAAAATATTTAATAATATATAATAATTATAACGATAACGATGACGAAAACGACGACGATAACGATGACGATAACCAGAAGGATAACGATAATGACAGAAAAGCGAGGAGGTAAGTGAAGGGTACTCTGCTTATGCTATGATATTGGGGCGAAATTTTGATCTTTTACATCTATGCTCCTAGTCGTTTCTGCAATCCTGATACAGATCTATATGTGTCGCACTGTCGACCGCAGCTTCTTCGTAAAATTGGTATAGATCGGATACTTGCTATGAGGTTCACAGAAAAGCTAGGAGAATGGTGAACAGTCCACTGCTTATGCTATGACGTTGACGTGGAATTTTGATCTTCTGGATATATGCTCCTAGTCATTTCAGCAATCCTGATACAAATATACGTTTCTGAATATCGCACAGACGACCACAGCTTCTTCGTAAAATTGGTATAGATCGGATACTTGCTATGAGGTTCACAGAAAAGCGAGGAGAATGGTGAACAGTCCACTGCTTATGCTATGACGTTGACGTGGAATTTTGATCTTCTGGATATATGCTCCTAGTCATTTCAGCAATCCTGATACAAATATACATTTCTGAATATCGCACAGACGACCACAGCTTCTTCGCAAAATTGGTAGATTGGAAACTTGTTATCAGGTTCACAGAAACGCGAGGAGGTATGCAAATGGTATTCTGCACCTGCTATTAGATGAACACGAAATTCAAATCCATAGCATCGATACCTCTTACCGCTTCTGCAACCCTGATACAGCTCTATAAGTTTCTGAAAACCGCGCTGCCGATCAGACCTTTCTCGTGGAATTCGAGGACGACGAGGGCTAACAGGATCATAGAAACGGGAGGAGGTACGTCAATAGTGCTGTGCTCTGTCTGTGATACTCCTTGCCATTTATGCTCCTCGCAGTTTCTGCGATCCTGATACAGGTTTCTGACTATCGCTCTGTCGACCACAGCTGCTTCGTAAAATTGGTAGATTGGAGACTTGTTTATCAGGTTCACAGGAACGCGACGAAGTAAATGAATGGTTCTCTGCTTATGCTATGTCGTTGATGAATTTTGATCTTTTGCATCAATGCTCCTAGTCGTTTCTGCAATCCTGATACAGATCTATAGGTTTATTTATAACGTCGACAATAACGATATCAATAACGACGACAACAACAACGTGGACGAAGGCGACAATAACGACGGCCACAATAACGACGACGATAATAATAACAATGATGACGACAATAACGACGACGACAATAACGACAATGACGACGACAATAACGACGACGACGACAACAACAACGATGATGACGACGACAATCATGATAACGACGACGACAATAATGACGACGACGATGACAATAGCGACGATAAAAACATGTCTTTCAGTTAGAAAGATGATCTGTTATGGACTTGAGGAAATTCGGAACAAGTAACTTTTCGAAGCATTTCAAGGACCTTTGCCCATTAGTCACTGTCTAATGTACGTTAGTCGAATCTGTCAGTCCTGGTTGCCCAGAAACCAGACAATGTCAAAGAAAAAGAGAAAAGAAAAGAGAAGGAATAAGGAAAACAGAAGTGTTCAGTTTAAGAGGAAACACCTAGGCTTTTTGAATTCGTACACGGATTAATTTTGAGGTCAACTAAACAATTTTGAATCGGTTTTGTTAGAGTGTAATTTTAAGTTTACTAAAAGTTCGCGCTAATTTTTAATTACAGTGCGAACCGTAGCCTTGAGTGTTTATGAACTTGCTTCACTGTGTAGTTCACTGAGTCACTCAACAGAGTGTTGCTGTGCGATTCCGGTTGACTATAACGTCGCTGCGCCTGAAGCTTGACATAATCCCTCAAGTAAGGAATGGCAAGGTCTCTGTGTAGTGACTCGTTTAAGACATACCTTGGAGCGTTGCAAATTGATCGCAAAGTTCTACTTTGCAGTACTGGAAGACATTTGTATGTATGTTTTGGCAAGAAAACACCAAGCCGCGCATGCATAAGCTTTTGAGACATCCAAAAGTAAGATGCCAGTACTCATGCTGAGGGTGAACCCTCTGGTAACATGTTTCACCAGCCTGACACCTGTAGCTTGGACCGAAAACCGAATTGAACGTCAGGAATCGCATGGTGATTTGACGAAAAATTCTCAAGGTGGCGATAAATCACCTTTTCAGCGAGCTTAGAAGGAGCTGACAGCAGACTAATAGGACGGTAATCCTGAGGAAATATCGAACTCACCTTCTTTGGAATCATGATGTCCTCAGCAGTCATCCACGCCACAGGGAAGTGCTGGGTTCTGAGCATCGCATTGATTATTGTCACCAAATATGTCAGACCTTTCGGCGAGAGCACCTTCAGCGCCCTGTTTGTGATTTGGTCCTTTCCAGGTGCTCTACGCACCTTGAGGTCTTTAATAAGACCTAAGAGCTCAGCTGGAGTGCAATGTGGAACCTCGGAGAGTTCCTCTAATATGCTATGTGAAGCCTCAGACGAATCTTCTGAAGAAGAGTAATCTGAAGAGGATACAGTGCCTCCCCTAACGCCGTTGGCCCTAAAATATCTCCTGAGGGATCTTACAATGTGTTGTTCCTCGTCGAGATCATTATCAAGATCATAGTTGGGAGAGAACTGATTTTCCATGGCGTTAGCGAAAACCTCGACCTTATCCTCTGTTTCTGAATACTATGCCTTCAGGACCGTGGATGTGCGGTAGTTGTTCTCGCTTTCCGTTTTTGAGTGACTTTGTGACCCTCCAGAGAGGAATACTTGAATCAGACCTTCCCGCCAGAAAATCGCTCCAATGCTCATTACGGAATTCATGGAGCGCGTTTCTCACTTCATGGACAAGATTCGTAGCGCTACGAATGTCATCATGCTGGCAAGATCTTTTTGACTGCTTGATAGCGGCCGGCTCTCTTACCAGAGATTTTCTGACGAATTTCCGCAGGCAAAAAAGGTCTGCCGTGTCGTTGTATAGGAAGTACAGCTGCACGCTGTAGAGCTGTTTGAATGAAACTTGTCTACTCCGCTTGAGCGGCATCTATTCCAGTCTGATCATCTATGATCGGGATATTGGGAAACTCTCTAAGAAACAACTTGTATAGCTCCCAATCAATGCGTTTCCTTGGAGGAGCTTCCTCCTCAGAAGTCTGCTCATTGCCCACCTCCTAGACAACAGGTAGATGATCACTAGAGATATCATCAAGACTCGAGGAGAGATTCTGTATCTACAGTTTTTAGATATCGCGAAGTCAATGACATCTGGTGCCTGAATATGACTGAATGGCTGGTATGTCAGCTCTTCAGTACTATGTACAAGGTACACATTTTGTATCACATGGTTGTACAGTCGAATCCCACTCGTGGAATTCAACATAAAATTCCATGCTCGATGATTGCAGTTGAAGTCTGCTGCCACAATAAGTTGACCCAGGTAGTTCTTAAGGACATCCAGATCCGCCTCTTGTAGCATGACACCACACCTGACATACACCGATGTGATCTTCAACGGAACACCTATCGTCATGTTGACCACCACAGAAGTTGCTTTGATGCCATGCATCTCTGCATTCGTGCCTCTATAATAGTCAATACCGCGTTTAATCAGCACTGCTAAATCGCCACCTCGACCATTCAATCTATCAGCACGGATAACATCATAATTCGGGAGAGCTAGACGATCTCCCGGATTAAGCAACATCTCCTGCAGCAAGGTTACATCTATGCCGTCATCCGAAAGAGCATGATGAAGTTCCCGTTTTTTGGGAATGTCCCTTAGGCCCAAAAAATTCCAAAAAACAATTTTGAGAAATACAGGCTGTCTACTATTGTACCTAGCCATTTACAGGACAGATCGCCTGCAAAGCTTGAGTAGCGCTAATCAGTGGACTTAATTATTTGTTGTATGGACCTTAGTGCGGTTGCCAGGTCCACGTTTTGCGTGCTCAAGGAAGGTTGGGCAGAGGGGGTAAGCAAGGTTGCTCTCGCTGCGTCCGCGTATGACAGATTGCGCCTTTGCGCTATAACTTGCAAGTTCCTCCTTGCAAGTCAGGCTTTTTGCGGTGTGGCCTTCTCCACAGTTTGCATTTGGGCGCTCTTCCTGTCCTGTAAGGGGGCACAGATGCGTCATGTGGTCCTTTGCACATTTTAGGCATTTGGGTGGTGCAGGGCAGTATGACTGCGGATGCCCGTACTTTTGGCAGCGGTGACACTGCCCAATGAGTCTGGAGTTCTTCTGAATCTCTACTCGAATGGCCAGTCCCAGCAGTTCTTGTGCATTGAATACTTGCTGGGACTTTTCACTCTTGGGCAGTATCACGACCACCAAAGGCATGGGCGCGCCGCCACTGCGGCTCAATCGAATAATAGCGAGAGGGCTATATCCCTCTGTTCAAGTTCTTCCTTAATCTCAGAATCCGAAAAGTTGATGGGAATGGCTGAGGAAAAGTGACATTGGCCGACGGAGTGACCTGAGAGGTAGATAATGTAGTCCCTCCGCCAACCGATAACAAAGGTTTGGTAGTAGACATAATGTTACTGATATTTTGTTTTGATGAAGTGGGGGAGGTGCGTAAAAGAGTGGATTCTGTATTTGGAAGAGGTGGAGAGTGCTCGGCTCGTCGGTCAATCTTGTTGCTTCTCCTCCTTCTAGATTTTGCGTTTATAAATCCGTCGGTCTGTGTGTCATTCGTCGGTAATGGTCCGTAGCGGTCTCTTTAGGCTGTTCGACGGTTCTTTGGAGGATTCTTTAGACCTTACTAATAGTGTTACCTAGGTAGTCAGGCTGTCAATTTTAGCCGTCTGGTCCTTGATTGTCTCCATGAATTCTCGCATTTGCCTCGCCTGGTCGTCTGTAATCATCATCAGTTTCTCCTTGGCTTTTTGCTCCGATGACGCCTGCGTCAATAGGCCCATGCTTTCAGTTTTTGAACTCCTTCCCCATTATTAGTGGTACTGCATCCTCTTTGGAC